ATACGATGGCGCGATGGAGTGATGGAGCGATCGGATGGATTATGGCTCGACAGAATATCCAAACGAGCCCACCACGCCACGCCAATGGACTTCAGTTTCCGCATTCACGGTACAATTTTGGACGAATGGAGCGATCGTGAATGGCGGCCTTAAGAGCTTTGGGCTTCTGGTAGGGTTATTGTTCCTGATATGGTCAAACGGGAAAGGCCATACTAAAGCAGCCTGCGTGGAGGCAAAGGTGACAGTACAACCACCAAACTGAGGGTTGCAGCTTGGTAACCTGCACATCGTGGAACTTGAACGTTCAAGAAATTAAAGCAGAGAGGTGGTTTGTTATGCAAAAATCCACACTGATTGGGCATATTAAGATTAGTACTTAAATCAGAGGAAACTGTAAGTGAAAAGTAATTCTTTATCCTGGGAAAGAGGATGATTATACCTCATTTCTTAATGGTGCTGGATGTAGTCATTTTCAGTATCGTAGACAGCAATCATGTCATAGAGCCAAAATATTAATTTTGCGACATAAAGTAAAGTAAAGCAGTCCTACATGCCATATAGGTAGCTCAAACTCATTCTTGTTCTCGACACTAGATGGGGGTGAGTTGTCAGCATCACGGCCTGCCGCGCTTTACCCCCGGGAAGGGACCGCATTATCCATTGGATAGGAGGTTGGGTGGGCCTCAGAACCGGTCTGAATGCAGAGACTAGAGGAAAATCCTTTGCCTCCGTTGGGGATGAAACCCCAGTCATCCAGCTCGTAGCTAGTCACTTTACTGACCGAGCTATCCCGGCTCATAATTTTGTGACGTTGTTATTCATTATGTTATAGCCGTAATTACATCTCCGTTATACAAGAACATGTTTAATTTTGCCACCATCAGCCCTGTTTCTGGAGAAATCAGCCTCACTAGTCGGAACTTTCAAGGAGTAAACAGACCAATAGCAGAAATTTGTCACTTTATCTGTGTGAATGTTCTAGTCACCAGACCTTGAGACATGGGAAGATACCCCTGGATGGGAGGACCAAGCTCAAGAAGACTGCGACCCTGACACAATTCTGAAGGAAAAACGTCGTTTGGAGAGGCAACGAAGACTACTGGAACAGCAGCAGAAACGCCAAGAACGGGAACAGCTCAAGATGGCTCGACCTATTGCCTTGGGAGCAAGGTTAAGTTGATGATAGTTCCATATATGGAAGTTTCTGCCATATGTTTGGATGGGTTAACTTCCATATGAATATATTTTAAATGCAAATTGACATTTGAGTTTTCTATAGGCCTGTGCTAATTGCTGTTCTGACGAGGTATCATCTGTAGTTTAGTTGAGTTGGGTACAACTCTAGGTTTATTGCTGACAAGTGACAGCTCACTTCCCCATATAATACTTAGCCTCAGGACAGTAATATGTAGTCATAGAGCTATAAGTAAACGCATGGGTGAGTTTGTGATGGTACCTCGTCTGAGATATCCTGCTGTGTCAGTCAGGCTTATAGTCTGCCCATACTGTTTTAAGAATGCATGTTTCACAGGTACAATTTACTGTTATGGAGTACATGTCGTGATTAGGGATCATTAATTTGACGGATTATTATTTTGCCCTCAGTTATCTTGTGTGTTTTTTCACAGCATCTATGCCTTTACTGTTACTGCGGCAAGTTGTCATAAATAATAAGGCACGCTCATTCATGCGCCTGCCTGACAGCTATAAACTGGTCAGTCTTCATGCACGTGTTCAGTGTAAACTTGCAGTATATACGAGGCTCGTCCTTAAAGTAAGTTTCCCTGGGGCCGTTTACAGAAACAAAACACAATTTCATGGAAATATTTATTGCAACAGATACAGCAAGTGTCCAGCTATTTTTCAACATATTCGCCACCGGAAGTGAGACATTTGTCATACCGTGGGACCAACTTTGGAATCCCTGTGGGTGAATGATTAAACACCTCCCAGCTGAACTCCTGCAGGAGACTTGCTGTCCGTCGAGCCGTGTGCGGCCTAGCGTTATCACTGACCGCACTTCACAGTCGGCGGGAGCTGGAATAAGAAACTCCATCTTCAACGATGCTACTGTGAGAACGCGGGAAGTACCGTTTGTGCATGCGCCATGCTACGTCATTGCTCTATCACGTACGCACAGTCGCTTCGCGCAATATAAGGTTTGCTAGCTGTGGGACGAGTGGGAAACTTACTTTTGGGACGCGCCTCGTAGTTTATTCCAATAAGAAATTAAGTAAATTAAGTTGGAATGTGCAGACATTTACGAATCCTGTATGTTTTTAGGATTTAAAATTTTTTATTACATGGTTTCAATACTGCTAAAATAAACTAAGCACAAAATAAAAAATTGTTTTTGTAACATTGAGTAATTCTTCTCTCTCTCTCTCTCTCTACATTCATTATCCATTCACTGGCAATCTACAGACGTTGTGTGTGGTCCTCACTTTAGCATCTGACACCCTGAAACAGAAGTCAGGTGCTTAGAACTTTGTAAGTGCGAAACTGGTGGTGTCATAACTAGTCATTTGTAATTTTCTTGTATTTCTGCTTGTGTGGTTTTTCTCTGTCTTCCGTTACTTAACAATTATGTATGCCGGATATGCGTTAAGCAAAGACACCGACACGTGCCTAATTTTAAAGAAAAAATTAATTAATGACTTCTCTGAGACTCTACTTGGATTGGACATCCATATTTACTGGTAGATGCAGATGAGCGGATGGCAAAGCAAGCTAGTCTCGATGCGAAAGTCAAACATGCAGGTTCATGTCATGGTAGCAGGATATGCATTTTTTCAAGGCTTGTGTTTCATAACATTGAGACAAAGCAACCTTATTCTTAATCTACATTATATTAATTTCATTGTGGTTTCATTTGTTATTTCTGACTCCTTATTTGAGATCAGGAACAGAAATACCTGGAGAGTTTTGAAATGTGGTGTTGGAGAAGAATAGAGAAGATCAGGTGGACGGATCGAGTGACCAACGAAGAAGTATTGAGGAGAGTCAACGAGCAAAGAAGCATTCTGCAGGCGATTACACGAAGGAAAGCTAACTGGCTGGGACATATTATGAGAAGGAATGGATTACTGAGTGATGTCATCGAAGGCCAGGTTGAAGGAAAGCGAGGACTGGGAAGAAGACTGATACAGCTAACCGACGATCTTAAACAAGGAAAGAAGATGACGTTCCAGGAATTAAAGCGAGAAGCCGAGAATAGGGACAACTGGAGAGCTCTTTTTGGGCAGAGCAATGGACCTGTCGTAAGACAGAACACTTAATAAAAAATATAATATTTGAGATCAACATCAGTACACTTGTATTTATGTAATGGTGACTCCGACAGGGTTTTGTATGCTTTGAGGGTCTCCGTGTGTATTCTTTATGTTTAATTGTGCAGCAGAACGTTATACCCCTTAGTATGGAGGGATGCTGTGTTCAAATATTGCTTTATATTATTAGAGGATCTAGTATAACGTAACTGATTTATGAGTCTTGAACCATACCTTTTTCTTACTTATCACTATGATTCACCATGATCCATTCAGAAACTAGTCATCGCTCTTATTGAAGGGGTGGGTTAAGTGCTAGTGTTGCAGGTGGATGGTATGGTGTCCCAGAATCCGTGGCAAGAGCAAGGCTTCTGAAATACTTGACAGATGGGTAAGTTTATGGCAGATACACAGTCCAGTGCAGGATGTTGCATTAGTAGCTCAGAGGAACTCTTTCACGAGTGCAAAAAAGAGCTTGAAGCTGGTCTCAGAGCATCGCACGCCTGACAGCGAATGTAAATTATACCACCTACAATTTCTGAGTGCAGTATAGGTTGCCAGTGAGACAACGTGTTCTCTGATGAATCTACATTTATGCAGGGTAGCCTGAAGATTGCTGTCTTCTGGGTTGTTGCGCCGTGTAGTCTGGTAGAAGTTTACTGACGTTTCGGAGGTCCTTGCTGCCTCCATCATCAGGGACCTCTGAAACGTCAGTAAACTTCTACCAGACTACACGGCGCAACAACCCAGAAGACAGCAATCTTCAGGCTACCCTGCATAAATGTAGATTCATCAGAGAACACGTTGTCTCACTGGCAACCTATACTGCACTCAGAAATTGTAGGTGGTATAATTTACATTCGCTGTCAGGCGTGCGATGCTCTGAGACCAGCTTCAAGCTCTTTTTTGCACTCGTGAAAGAGTTCCTCTGAGCTACTAATGCAACATCCTGCACTGGACTGTGTATCTGCCATAAACTTACCCATCTGTCAAGTATTTCAGAAGCCTTGCTCTTGCCAACATTTAACTCGGCAAATGATGGGCTGATTTTAGTTTACGTAGCGTGGAGAGAGCATTACAACTTTTCAATGTGGTCATGTGTCTGTTTATTGTTGCAGTTAGATCTTTCAAGAAGGGGCTGTAATACCGCAGTATAAGCACAAGTTAAATAATGTAATGGTTCCATCTGTAACAGAGCTTTGTCCTGATTGGTTATCCAGTTCCAACAAGATGACTCCTCCATTCATGATTCTCGTGGTGCGGCCAGCTGACGTAAACTCATTGACAGGCCACCATGAGAGCCTGATATGAACACCATTGGGAATATATGGAGTGAGGTGAGGAAAACCATGCAGGAAACCAGGCCTGGCTTCCTTCTGAGAAATAGATATGCCCTCTGGAATCTTGTATCTGCACTTGTGATATGTTGCTTCATCTTAGTATTATGTTTGGTCCCTAATTGAATCCATGCTGATAAGAATGAGCTCAGTGTTTGAAGCTCGGGGATGTTGACATATTATTAAAGCTACCGGATCTTATAAAAGCATTTTCAGGGGCTAACATACTAGTCGTATTTTATATAACTAGCGAGTATCCTGTATGACACAAATTATTTATCTGATTGTGAGAGCAGCAACACAAAAATCACAATCCAGGGAATGTTTTGACAATCTGATATAAAGAACATATAACACTGAACTTGAGTATATGTTTGTGCCTAACTGCATATTCATTGTAAAAATACATAGTATGTATATTTTTTTCTGAGTAGTACTGTACTTGCAGAGACTGGTTGATTGATTGATACGAGATTCATTCCTACATCCATCTGATAGTAAAATGAAGATATTAGGAATAAACTGTTATGAATGGCAACTACAGTCACCTCTCTCTACGTTAACTGAAATGAACCCTTCAAATTCAGCTGTACGTGTTCAGCAAGAATGACCAGGTCGAAGGAGGCAGGTGTCTCAGCATTTGGTTGTGAATGGTTTCAGGCCTGGGGTATGTATCATGTGTTTATTTAAGTTCTGCCATACAAAATAATCACTTATAAGGCCCTGTGGCTTAAGCTGTAAAACCGAGTTGGCGACTTTCTTTGCGTGCTCCAAGTTGTTCGAAAACCGGAACTGAAAAATAATGTGACGTGACCACTCATCCCGTTATTATGACACCATTCGCCATAAGGGCTAGGATAAATGTGAAATACATTTGCTTGATATTCATTGTAGATGTTCCTGTACGGCAGTTGATGTTTAGACTGCCAGACAGTCCTCTGCATTTTGGCACTTAAGGGCAGTTAAATTTGCCTTAGTGGGGTACCATCTCTATCCACCATGGAACAGGCATACAACATGGCTTGGTGGACAATTGGAAAATAGATTTTTGAGATGCCCTCAGGACAATACAGGCAAATTTATGCACCATAAAATCTACTATAAAACTTTAGACAATCTGCAGAAGTTTGTAGCTTGACTAGTTTGGTTTACGGATGACACTTCAGTGTGTGTCCAATTTGTTCACGCAAATGTTTACAATATGTGTAGTGTATCAAGATGTGACATTCCTTTAGTGAATGCTTTGCTGCAGGATAAAACAGAACTGGTTTTAATAAAAATGTATGGTATGAACCAAATGAATATATTTTTCAGTGTATTGGACAATTTTCTGGGTAATTCCTTCGAAGTAAAACACTGACTTATGTGATGTAAACCTGTTTCTAGTTTCTATGTACGTATTGTAACATTTTTAAATATGCTGTAAAATTTTTGTGCATTTATATCAGTTTCACACATGATTAATATACTGCAATTTGTAAGGTATTTCTTTCTGAATACTGCTATGGAGCTTGTTAAGAAAATAAGAATAATACAAAGGGAAATTAAATTAATGTTCACTTTGTAATTTAAATTCCCAGACGTAAAATGTTCTGGAAATTGACCTTATTGTGGCAAAGACGCACTAGGAAGATGTATGGAGGAAATGTTTAGATGTGATGCTTCAACTTAACCAAATGTTAGGTTATTACGTATGTAAATAAAAATCACAGACACTACCAACACGCCAATCAGATAATCAATATTATATTTACAAAACATGTTTTTACAATCTTATATGTGCTTAAGATTCAGACAAGTTGCCACAAGTGACAAAATCATGCTCAAAACATGATAATTTGAACATAGCAGTCATGTGACATTTACATGCAATTTTGAATTCTTCAAACTAGACGGCAGCATTATGCATAGCAACAAAATTATGTTTTCATAGCACTGGGAACAAAGTTGGACGTCACAGCAAATGGAGAAGATTATTTGTTGATGTAGACTAAAGTTGAATTTCACAATATGCAGTTACGCTCGGACATTAGACTACAGACGAATGCTGCAGGAGTAGGGTTAACATGTCTGCCATTCCATCTGTCCTTGCCGTTATCACTTTCAGAGTTACAAATGTAGGCCAGTTTCATGTAATTTGACTTCATCACAGAATACAGTACTGATCTCTCTTATTTATATCAAATCTAAAACTTCTTGACGATGGTGAAGAGTCAATTGAATAAAAATTTACTTGGATATTATCCATCGTCTAGTAATAAAACGTAAAAAACGTAAAACGACGTTTCGGAGATGGGGCTCTATCTCCGTCTTCAGGTTCCTACACAGTTGGGCCCACTAGATAGAGCTAATCCCTATCTCCGGACAAATTAAAAAGTGAAAGCTTATTTATGTTTTATTTTTCCCAACATGAACTTTCTACGCCTCACGCAGATATCATCTATGCATTGACTGTAATTATTCAAAGTTTGGATCTCACTGAGTGCAGGAATATCTTAGGATAGTTTCTTATACTTTTCCTTCTGGAACTAGAGCCCTGAATAATACGTGCCTTGATGCCGACTTATGCTTTTGGCTGTTAACCTGGTAATGTGTTCCTTTTTTACATGAAAGGAATGCGAGTATGATTTCTACTCGCATCTCAACATGTATTCAGTCCCACCAAAGGAAGATATTATGTCATGGTAACAACAAATATTAATTTTCATCCAGACACAGCGTGGCATCGGTATGTTTCAGAATGCCATGTGGGGTCGAGGATTAATAAATTTAGTATGTTTACTTATACTATATG